TAGCAGGGACTGCGAGGAAGCTCTCCGCAGCCACTCTCTTCAGTCAGAGAAAAGTCTCTTAAAGGCTCTGTCTTTTAATCTGACTCTTTAACTGTTTCCTTCCAAGAGGGCAGCCAGGTGGGCTGGGCCACGCCGAACAGCCCAAGAGGGCCCTGTCTCCCCAGGTGCCCCTCCTGTGGGGGTGGGGGAGCGGGGCGTGTTTCCGCTGTGATGGGATCAAAGCAGCAGTGGCGGTAACTAGGAATCAGCGTTTCAAAGGGAACCTTTCGGGGGGGCCTTGACTCTGCCTGCAGGGCTGTGCGGCCACCTTGCCCACCTGCTTCCAGAGGCTTCTGTCGCCCCAAAGGAAGCCCTGGGGTCCGTCCTTTCAGCAGCCGCGCCCGGTCCCCCACCCCCAGCCCCCGGTCCCCACCAGTGGGTGGTGGCTTTCACAGTTGCCTTTTCTGGTTGGTTTTCCACGCTCTCGTTTTCTTGCCGAGGTTGTCACGTATGAAAACATTGTCCTGGCTTTTACGTTCCAGACTCAGTAGCCGAAGCCACGGGGGCCGTTCGCAGGGACCTCAGAAGCTGTCAGCTCCAGGATTCGCACGTGAACACGGCGGGGGGGGGGGTTTGATGGATGACACGGGGGCCCGTGGCCACGTTCCTTTGCTGCTTGTTAAGAGCTCTGCCTGAAACCGGGCGGGTGCGCCCTCCCCCAGGAAAGGAGCGGCGTTTTTCATCCTTGACTTAGACTCCTGAGTTCCCCGTAATTGAGGCCCAGAAGAGAAGGTCAGCCGCTAGGCGTTCGGGGCGGGAGGCCTCGGGTGGACCCCAGGGCCCCCTTCTCTGCGTGCCATTTAACCTGTGCGAAGGTGGACGCCTAGGAGGCCCCGCCCCTGTGCGCCCGGGGACACTCGGGTCGGACGGCGCAGCATGTGCCCCACCCCCCATCACGCACACGGTCCAGCCCTGGCAAGGCCAAGCCTGGGAGAGGCTCACGAGTAACAATTAAAAATAAAAAAAAAATCCCCCTGCATCGGGTTCCTCAGGTGCTGAGTGCAGGCGATTTCGAACAGGTGATGTCTGTGCACTTCCACGTGCGCAAGGCACGGTACCCGGCTCCGGGGCCCCCCTGCGCTCCTGCTCGCCCCACGCCCGCCACTTTCCCCGAGGAGACGATCCAGCCAGCGCTCCTCAGACCAGAGGGGACGGAATCGTGAGGGCGTGGTTACCGGCTTTGTTTGGGTGACCAACTGCCACCTTGGGGCTGGCGGTGAGGCCCTCATGACCCCGCAACACTTTTGTCACTGATTTGGCCACTGGTAGGTCGTGGCTTTGGCTGAACGAGGACAAGCCGTCCGCTGCGAGAGACAGGAGGGGGAGCCCGCTGTCGGCCGGAACGCGCCCCTTGCTTTTCTCTGACAAACCAAATTCATTCCTTGTGTAATTGATAACGGCCTTGGCCAATTATTTCACACATTACAATACACAGAGGCCCCCTTTACAGGTTTTGCAGGGCTCTAATTAGCTATGCTAATATCCCCTTTATTGGTCCTAATATTGCTCAACACCTTTTGCCGTCCCAGAGCCCACGAGAGCCCCGTGGCCTGTCAGGACAGCTGATTATTGAGAAAGATAGCTTTAATCAAACATAATTGCAGTTAATTTTTCTCTCCTGCTCTCTGTTGCCAGCATCTAATGCCACGGACTCCTTGATATTCCATTAAATTACAATTAAACAGCCTCCTTTGTTTCTGACCGTCCTGAACAACGCCGAGAAGTTCTGGAGCAGCTCGGGAGCGCCGTTCGGGCCTAATTGCCGGCTCTCTCACCGAGGGCCAATTTGCACAATACCCATGTAGAATTTAAACAGTTCATAATGTAATGGATATTACACAGGAGCCTCACACTACAATTAAAATGATTTTCATCAGCTAGAGGAGCTCTGGTTAATCAGCTTCATAAAAGTAAATATAAATGAACTAATTCATAGCTTAAACGCACAGATATGGAACCGACTCGGAGATGGGTTGCTGCGGTGGGGGCTGGCCCCGTACTGTGGGGTACCGAGGGCGCCCCAGTTCACACGCTTCCTCCCGTTACCGGCCCTTCGTCTGCCCCGTGCTGGCGCGGGCGCTGCCTGAGCGGATTCTGACTCGGCGCCCCAAGAACCCCGCTTTCGACTTCCTGCCGCGGGCACGGCTGTGGCCACAGCTCCGTGTGGAGCGGTTGAGCCACCGTCCAGGCAGAAAAGTGTGTGTGTGGGGGGGGCCCAGGGCGTTTACAGGGTGCTCCTGCGTGAGAGGCACACCCCGACACCTGCTCTTCGCAGAGCCAGCGAGATTGTCCGATGGGCGTCCTCTCCCGACCCCCCAACGCTCCGAGGAGGAGGCCTGGTTGCAGGAGCAGCGAGATCCCTCCTTCCCCTGCCGACTGCGCCTGCGAACTGCCCAGGGTTCTGAGCCTCGTCGCCGGCGGGATAGGGCCGGGGAGTTTGGACGGGTGTGCTGGGTGCCCCGAGCTGCTGCCTCCCTCCTGCCTGGGAGAAACAAGTAAATAAAGCCCATATTTCAAGCTTGATTTACTCTGGTACCTACTGTGAAAGATGATGACTCTTTAGGGAAATAAAGACGGGGTCAGGGAATTAGTGTACAAAATGGTCATTTTGATGATGGGCCAGCAGCTGCAATGGGAAGCACAATGTACACAATTAAGCGTAATGTACTAATGACAGGCTGGAATTTTTATCGCCCCGCCATCGAGCCGCACGTCCGCAGTTAGCAGTAATAAAGAGTTTATTGGTGTTAAAGCCAAAGATTTTCTGACATAGGAGAGATTTTTCCTTCCCTAACGAGAGTACGAGGTCCTTTGTGTCCCAGACTCCGGAAGTGAGGTATGTAAAGGGGCTGTCAGATATTTCTCAGAGAAAAAGCCCATTAAAGGACAGTTGAGGAGAGGATGAGAACTGACCTCCCACGTGGGGCCTTCGGGTCCCTCCCCCTTCCCGAGTGTCCGCACGGCGTGTCCCGCCGAGCCCGTCCGGGTGGACGTGTCCCCGACACATCAGCACGCAGCGTCAGTGGTCATGGGCCGGACCCACTCAGGGAGGCTTCATCGAGTCCTCCGCTTCCGTGGGACCGATGCAGGGTGCAGAGTGGGCACAGGCCTCCACTCCGGCGGAGGCTGCCCCTCGCTCGGTTTGTATCCTTGGAACCTGGGAGCCCGAAGGGGCCTGCTCCCTAGGGTGGCCCGTGGCAGGCCCCACCCGTGTGTCTCACTGAGTGTGAGACATCAGCATCGGAGGCCCTGCAGATGGAGCGTGCGTGTGAGTCCACCTGCCCCGGGGGTCCGCCCCGAGAGGACCGGCTAATTTCTTCACCGGAGGGCAGCGTAGGCTGGTCAGGGCCCCCCCGAGCCTGCCCTTTGTGCCAGGAGGCACAGGGGTAAAAAGACCTTGAGGAATTTGAAGGCTGCTCCTCCGGAGGGGGCGCCGTGGCCCAGGCAGGCGCCTGCCCGGGAGAGGAGCCTGCTGGCTGTGTGCGGCGTAATTGCACCGCGCAGCCGTCCCCGAAGTGAGAACCTAATTGCCTGAGAGGACCATAACTTTGTGACGCCCTCACCTTGTTAGGCCCTCTCCGACGCAGTTCAAGTGCAGAGTGGCCGCAGGTGCGCCTAATTTACCTCGCCGCGGCGCGTGGAGTTTAATTGCGGCGGTTGTTAGGAGAAATTGGTGGGTGGAATTTCAAGTGACTGGCTGTGCTGGTGGCAGATGGCATCCGGGGCTCCGAGAGCTGCAGTGTAGGTGAGGTGAGTTAATTTGAGATGTAAATGCCGGCCTCGAGTAGCGAGGCCGCGCCGCACGTGGGGGCCCGGAACTCGGGGGCCGGACTCTCCCGGCACCGTGGCGTTTCCGACGGGAGGCCGTCCAGGGTGCGCTGGGCACGAGTGGCAGACGGACCCCGGCTGCCGAGGTGTTTTAGTTTTGGATACATTGTCTGCCAGGACCCGTGAGCGTCAGGTTGAGTTCAGGGCAATCACGTGAAATCTAAAGAAACAGCCATCCTCCTGCGGGCGGGGCGGCCTTTGGGAAGAGGCCGGACACGCGCCTTGGGCAGCCTCGCTGGACTGGACGCGCAGACACCCGAAGACAGTGCCCGGGGGCGTGGCTTCCTCGGTGAGGCACAGGGGCGTGGGAACAAGACCCCACTGTCCCCGTGGTCTGTGTCCCAGCCAGGCTCCCAGTGTCCGTGCTGCCAGCCGGAGCATCCACAGTTAGCATGCGGGGACGGGGTGGGGGGACAACCCGATGATGTTTTTGTGAGAGCGTCTCAACTCACTGTCCGGACCCGACTCTTCACGTCTCCCAGCCGGAAGGCAGGGCGGGGTGGGAAGGCACCAGCTCCGCACCGGGTCCCGCTCTCTGCCCGAGCACGGGTGTCCCTGTCACCTCAGGGGGCGCAGATGACCCCGTTCACAACGCACCAGGGCCTTTCAAGGAGGTCACGGCAGCCGCTGGCACAGCACCCCGAATCCTTTCCTGAGAGTCGTACTGTTGTAACTCCCCAGATGCCTCTTGAGAAGTGTGGTCCCTCGGGTGGCGAGCCCCGGGGTGGGGTCACTGGAGAGGACGCCTGTCCTAAAGGAGGGGCGGTCGGTCTGGAACTCAAGCCAGACTAGGCCTCCTGGATCTCTATGGGCGGAGGCTGGCGGTCCCCAGGGGACACATGTTTCCTCAGTGGTCATGGGCAGTTGGCAGAGGTCTTGGCCAGAAATGGCCAGTCCCAGTCATGGCTGTTTAGTAAGATTTGGAAACTGGCGAGGCCAGTGGAAGTCACTGCTTTCATGCAAAGTAGTCTGGCCGCCAGCCCTTAGGCTCCGCACCTGCCTGCAGGGCCGCTGGCCGGGCCAGTGAGGGGAAGCCCTCACCGCTCCCCATGCAAGAGTGTATGGTTTCAAAAACCTTGTATTTTCTGTCTGATAAACCTAACCACTATCCATCTTTTTTTGTATTTTTGTAGATTCTTTCTAAAGTTTTTCCTCAAGTGCAATCAGAACTGTTTGAAGAATGCAGGCAACCCTCGTGACATGCGGAGATTCCAGGTACACCCTTCTCAAAGACGCACGCACGGGGAGGGGGGGCTTTTGTGTTGAGGTTTGAGTGCTCTGATGCCACTGCTGTCCAGACAACAGCGATCGAGAGCTCTCGAGGGCTGGGGAGTAAACCAGGGTTGGTTCACTGGGTTGGTTCACCTTACATCAGGTGCTTTCACCATGATCTGGCACCTTCAGTGATGTGGCAGCCTCATCTGCGCCACCCACTCACTCAGGGCTCGTGAGGGACTGACGTCAGGTCTGAGACAGTGGCCCAGGTTCTCACCCCTAAGACCAGGTGTGCTCGGGGGGGCACTCAACACCCAGCAGCTGGGGCGGCTGGAGCTGGAGGCTTCGGACACCCTGGGGGTGTCCAAAGGGGCCCTTTCAGACGTTTTTCGGAGAGTCCTCCCGAAGCCTGCCCCTCTGGCCCACTGCTGTCTGTGCTCGATCGAGAACTCGGCGCTCTTGCTGCAGGTCTCTCAGGAATCAAGGGGCTCTTCCTGGGCGAGAGGGTGCCCTCAAGACCGGCCCCCCTCACCTGTGGGATGCTGGCCTCTGAGCATTCCCGGGGGTCTCCTAGCTCGGCTGCCCACCTGCGGGGCCTCTGCCTCGGGTCTGCCCTGAGGACGCCCCCTCCAGCAGAGAGGTGGAGAGCTGGTGGAGGTCAGGGGTAAAGGAAGGGCAAGTTTGTGGTTTTGTAGTTTTTGTTTGGAGAGGAGTAGGAGGTTACTTCAGGGTGAAGGGCACCCTGCCCCCAGGATGGATGATTTTGCTGATTTTGATAAAGAAAAATGCTCTGGGCTGGGTCGCACACCCCTGCTGGCCCCTACGGCTTGGAGGAGAACTGGGCGGCACCAGCCTTGAGAGAGGGTGGGATGAGTTTGCCATGGCCTGGCTCAAGGTGGTTTTAGAAATTCAATGGAGGCGTTAGCCTTTTAGCAAAACACATGTCATCTGTGTCTGCAGCCAACTAGCCAATCAGAGCAGGGCGCCTGGGCCCGCCTCAGGCGTGCGCTGGAGCTGAGGGCAGTGTCTCGGGCCAACAGCTGGGCCCGCCTCCCGTTGCCTTGTTCGGGGCTCAGCAGGTGCTGTCGATGGTTCTGAGCGGAGCCCACGTGAACGCCCAGCGGCCTCCGCAGCAGCGTCCGTCTGGACAGGAGCCGCAGTGGCTGGAAAGGCCTGCTGTAGCCTCTTGCGCTAATCTCCCGCCTCTCAGGTTTAACGGACTTACCGTGGGCCGGGGCTTCTTGCCGCCCTGTCTCCACCTGGTGTCCCAAGCCCGGCCCCTCTCCGGGGTGCGCCTGCGGCTGCCGCAGGCCGGCACACTCGGCTCAGCCTGCCTGTTTTCTCCCTGCCGAACCGCGCTCTTCTCTCCCCGGGCGGCTGACCTACATACCGATGGCAGCCGACACACTGTCCTTTAATTTTATTTTTACCTTTCTCGGGTCTTTCACGTGCTGTGGTCTGGGAACTTGAAAAGGCCCCCGGCCCTGTCTCGGTGCAGTTCCCCGTCTGTCTCTGCGTCACCCTCCAGGGCTGGGTTGGGGTGCTGCCTTGCACACCCGGGCGGGGCCTGGCAGACAGACCGCAGGAGGGCGCCCGGTCCGTGGGAGCAGCTCTGCGTGCTCTGCTCAGAGGCCACGCATCCGCCAGCGGCACCGTGGTCTGTCCCAGCCTCCCCTGTCCCTGCCGTGCGGGGCACCGCCCTCTGGGCCGTGAGGAAGGTGCTGAGGGACCTGGACCTGGGTGTGGGGATGCCCGATGGTGGCGGGTTGCGAGGGAGGCCCCAGCAGTCCTGGGAGCTTCGGGGGCGCAGGGCCCGTCTGCTCCAGCCTCCCTGTGGGGCCTGAGACTCTCCTTCCAGCCCGCGCGCTCATACACGCACAGCCTTGGCCTTTCCTCAGCCCTTAAATACAATTGTTTTCTTCCCGAGAAGTTTGTTTGAAGCAGTTCTAGGTTTACAGAAAATCTCACAGGGGGCATGGGGAATTCCCAGATGCCCTCTGGGCACCCTGCCTCGGTTTCCCCGGTTAATAAGGTGCATTAGCTGTGCGGGAGGAACTGGTATTGATACGTTGCTGTTAACTGCGGCCCACCGTCCCTTGGCTTCTGTCATCCACGGGTGCGTTCTGACGCATGCAGGCCCAGTAGGGAAGGGGGCCTCAGGTGGGCTCCCCTCTGGCCCCTGCTCACCTGCTCAGACCACACACTTCTTCAGGGAGCGGTGAGATTCTCTAGGTGGTGCTGGCCCCCACTGCTGCCCACATGGGGCAAAGAGCCAGGCCCCTTGCCCCCCAAACCTGGGCTCTAGCCCCAGGGGTCCCGCTTCAAAGGGTCATCCCCCGTCTGGACCTGGGCCTCCAGTCTTTGCTGCCCCAGCTGCTCTGGAAATAATGTGCCGCGCCCGCCTGCCCGCCCGCCTCCGGGAGAGAGAGCTTTCAAGGCTGGGCGGCCGAGTCCTGTTCCCTAAGGCCATCAAGGGTGCCGTTCTGGGATGCGGGTCACAGGCCCCCTGGGAAGGTCACTATTCCCACCCCCACTTCCCATGTGAGTTTCTTTGTCACTTCTGCCAAGAGTAAGAGGCCATTCCTCACGGTCTCCCCCTGGCCCCCTCTGACCCGGACCTAAAACGGGTTTCTCATGCCAACCGGGAGATGTTCCCTTAGCAGACCGGGGTCCTCAGCAGGCCAGGGTCTCTGCCACCCTTGCAATGAACTTGAGAAAGGCTATTTTCCCTGCACTGAAAATGCTGTCAGCATTCACGTTCAGCTCGGCCTTTTTAGATGTGAAGCCCTCCATTACCAGACCCTCTGTACTTGTGACGTTGACCCCGCTCCTCCGAGGAGAGGCTGCGGGCCGCGGTCGCTCCTGATTTATGGACCTTTTTTTTTTGGCAACTGAAGCCTCACGGCCCTTGGAGGGGGACAGTCTCCAGTGAACTAATTTTAATTAGATAAACTATCCAATCAATATGTGAACAGATCAATCACAACAACAGCTGTAAAATGAGTGGCCAGAGGGGTGCTTCTGAAGCTAATGGCTAGAAGAATATTTCTCTGAATGGAATTCACTTGTTAGCATAATAGGAGATTAAACTGTAATTAGGGCAGCAGGTTTTGAAGAGAAGCAATCTCGAGTCAAAACAACACCGAACAAAAGCAAACCACCCACCCGGCCCCGTCTGCCAACAGGGACGGGAGGCCGGGCGCGAGTCGTCTGGGGCCCCGGCGCCCGTGCCGGCCCCGCCTCAACCCCACTTCGTCTCCGCAGGTCGTGGTGTCCACCACGGTCAACGTGGACGGCCATGTGCTGGCCGTGTCGGACAACATGTTCGTGCACAACAACTCCAAGCACGGGCGGCGGGCGCGCCGTCTCGACCCGTCAGAAGGTACGGCCCCTTCTTATCTGGAAAATGGTAGGCACATGTTACATGTCTCTTTTTATTTGCGGCGATTTCTTTTTTCTTTGCACCATCCTTTGTGTTGATTCATGTTGAGTTGCTGGCCCCTGCTCCCCATACCCTGCCTTGCTGGTCAGACCCCATGCCTGGCAGGGCCTGGGTGGACCCTAGGGTGTCCCCCTGCCGGCGTCCCCCTGCCGGCCCTCAGCGAGGGCTCCGAGCCCCCGCTTCCCTCGCCGCGTGGCCTTCACTGAACTGGTTGGTTTCTAAGGTTTCTTTCGCTTAGAGCTTTTCGTGGATTTTATTTACTTCGTTCTGTTCTGGCCCCGCCCTAAGCCCCACCTGAAGGTCACGCCCAGACACCTGTGCATGTTTGGTGGGTGGTTGCTGCTGGTCCTATCAGCTCAGGACGGACTCCAGGACAGGATCCTGCCCCTGGACAGATGGACAGATGGACGGAGATGGCGGGGGTTGGGAGCAGGGGTTGAGTGAGAGTTCACTCCTGGGGTGAAGGGGTGAGAAAAAACGGTGCCAAGTGACTTTCTGATTTCCTTGTTAAAAGAGAAGGACTTCGGTGAGGGGGGGGGTGGCAGGGAGCAGTGTCCTGGGGCATGGAGTCTGAACGCAGAAATGAGCCACCTGCCACATGCCTGTGGGTCACGTCCCCTCGAAAATAAGGTCCCTTTTCTCTATAAAATAGCACGTCCCAATCATGACCCTGACCAACATGAATTGCTGAAAAAGGAATGTGAGTTGTTTTTACAAAGTGAACTGAACAAACCAGTGAGATGCAGTCCGGTAGAGCCAAGAGCCCATCCGAGCAAGCGGTTCCGAGACAGCCCTCTGCCCTGAGGCCTGGGACCTGGGAGCCCGGCTGGAGGCCCACCCACTCGCTCCAGGAAGTGGGGGGCGGGGGGCAAGCGGAGCCCATGCAGAGCCTCACAGTGAGGTGTGAGGAGGACCTGAGGCTGGAGGCCGTTCACGAATCTGCTGCAGTCCACAAAAATAAACTAATTTGTTTTTCTCCATTAATGACGAAAGTCTAAGAGAACAAAAATATAATAATTAAGGGTCGCCCTGGGCCCAGAGTCATTAGCCTCCGTGACGTACTGTTTACCTCCTTCCTGGGCACTGAAGGTAGGTGCACGTGCTGCCTGGCAACCGTCACTAATGAGGCTCACAATTAAGAAGGTTGAACCCCCGTCCTCAGTCCCCGCTTCCCCGGAGAGCCGGAGCCCGCACGCGATTGGTTCCGGGAGGCCCCCAGCCCTCTGGTGTTCGGGTGGCGTCTGGGGCCAAAGCCAGCCTCCTCTAATGAGCTATGATGATCTGAGCCGTGGATGAGTATTTATTTTTGTAAGCAGCGCGGAAAAGCATTTGACTGTAAGCAGAAAATATCACGTTTAGGAAAATAAAGGCCACGAGTGGGTACCTTGGAGATAAAACCCAACTAATCAAAAGCTGTTTGTAGAAGCAATCTCGATCAAGATTTTGTCTCCCCCTATGTTTGTTTCTCAATATTTTGAAAATCAACCTTGGGACCAAGTCGCTCTCTTGCAAGGAGATTGAAATCCTCGTGCCGCCCCCCAAAGTGAGCCATCGTCTTAAGATGCAGAGAGGTGACTGAGAGGTGGCACGTACGGGTTTTTCTGGGAAGAAGGCATGAACTGAGCTTTCTGAGTGTGTTTTTGTTTCGTAACAAGGGCCCTACAGCTCAGGGCAGGGTCCTCTCCAGGATAGAGAGGTGCGTGCCTGCGCGTCTGGGCTTCCCAGGAGAGTCCCGACGTGGGAAGTTCACGTAGGGCCCGGCCTCCACCTGCCTGGTTAGGACACATCGCAGGGGCGGGGTGCGGGCTGGAGTCGGTCCCGCGTCCTTGAAGGAGAACGCGCCCCGTAAACCGCAGATCTGTGCTTGTGTGCAGCCTCGCCTGGCTCACACCTCATTATCCAATCATCTAATATTCACCAGCAGTGTGTACACACTCGCTGATGGTTTCCAAGTAAACGAATCCCCTGCTGCCGCCGTGGACGCCTGCCACGGCGCCCTCTCCGCGCACAAAAAGCCGGGCAGATTATTTACAGTAGTGAACCCAGGCGAGGGGGAAACCACCGTCCACCTTCCAGCGCGGCCCAGTCCGAGGAAAGCTCTCATGTCTTTTCTTCCTTGTCACTCTCCCCTCGTAAACGGCTCCAGCCCTGTTTAAACCTCTGCGAGCCCTGCCCAGCACCCGGCCTGCGGCGCACGGTGATTTGCATGCCAAGCGCCGTAATGTGGTTAGGTTTATGCAATAAGGAGGGCCGAATCCAGGCTGTGGGGCTTTAGCGAGTTAAGGGGAACAGATGGCCCTAGGAGAGGTAAAAGGTATAATCCTATCAGCTGGAGTATCAGCCAGCCATCTGGACATCCCGAGCACAATTACAAGACATTTTAGCAGGCAGAACAAAGGAGTCTTCATGAGGCAAGATTAGGCCTGTTTGAGTGCCTCAATATTGTGAACGCAGAGGAAGGTGACAAATGCCGTGTTGTTACTCGGGAGAGCCTGCTGATTAACGGGGACCGGCCCGGGAGGCTGTCGACTCGCAGAATCCTGGAGATGACAGAGAGGCTCCGAAAGAGAGAAAGGCAGAACCGAATGTCCCGGTCAGCCACCCTGGCTGGCGTTAAGTGGCGTCACTTTCAGCCCTTGAAACCCTTGCCCCCCTTCCGCCCCAACCCCCCCCAATCCACGTGGGGCTCTAAGGAGGAAGACACACGAGGGCAAGGCCGAGGGTGCTCCCAGCCAGCGCCTCTTCTCCTGAGGAGGCTGCGGGGCTCCTGCAGTTAAAAACAGGTCAGGTCTGCAGGGGAGGTGTGCCCGCCCCCTTTTCGGGTCCTGGCAGCCCCGGCTCTGGGAGGCTGCCTGGCTAGGTCACGCGGAGAGCCGCGGGGCCCACAGACCAGGACACGTCTGCAGGGCTGCTTCCCACAGTGGGCCCAGAGAGCGGGATGGGGCGTGCGGGGGGCCCGTCCCCACCCCGTCCCTGCTCCTCCTCCTCCACCTCCAGCTGCGTGCCAGCCTCTGTCATCTGCTTGCGTGCATTGCGCGCGTACACCATTAGGTCTCCAACGCTGTCTGGGTAGTTCGTTTACTGTGGCTCCCACGGAACACCTGTCCCCTCCGTCTGTGCACGGAAATGTATGCAGATGCAGGCAGGGGAAAGGTGGCCCTCGGCGGTGGCGGCGAGGAGGCTGTGCAGGCCGGGGGTCTCTCTGCCACACGCGTCACACATTCCGGGACGCCGTGTTCGCCACCAGGCCACAGCTGCCAGCTAGCAGTCTCCTGCGCACACAGTGGATCCTGCAGTTTTTTTCTTTTCTCACCTCCAAAGTAAATTTGTTTACTGTAATTTTTTTTTTTTGGTGAATTATTTGCCATAATTGGCTGTGCTGATGAAGGTCACCTCCTCGGAGGAGGCTTGTCAGTCTTTAGAGAGCTGATCCTTTTCAAATGCTCTCCATGCAATTAAGAAAAGCAAATGTCATTCGGAAGCCTCAGAAATGAAAATTTGTATGAACTTATTAGCATGGAGTCAACAGCGCCAGTTAAGGGCGGGTTCCCAGTGCGCGCGCTGTGCTCCCGCAGCAGAGGGAGACGCTCGTGGAATGAGCAAATATAACCCCCGCTAGTCCGACATCAGAGCAAACAAAGGAAGGTGGCGTGCCCAACAAGGATGGCTAATGGCGATGAACTCGATGGGGCCTGCGAGGCGCCGCCTCTGACCCGGCAGGGGGGCCACGCACGCAGGCTTCCGGAAAACGCCTGCATATGAAGACGTGCGGCCGCGTCTGACCCGCAGTCTCACAAAGGTGGTTTGTCTGAGGCCACACGACCTGGGGCTCCAACGAGAGCCAGTCTGGCCAGGCCCCACCCAGCCTTCGGGGGGCGCTCCTGTGTGCACAGCCCAGGGAGCGCTCCGCAGCAGGGGGAACCTCTTCCTGTTTGCCAAGATTCGGTGCTACTTTTCTGGTCAAACGCCCTGGAGGGTGGTTGGGAGTGATGGGAGAACACAAAAACAGTTCAGTTCTTCCACGCACCACTCGGCTTGGCACCCACAGCCCCACTGAGCCTGGCAGGAGTGTGGCAGCCCCTAGGGTGACCCAGGGCTTGCCCGAGGCTGCCTCCTACCTGTGGGTGGAGGATGGGGCCCTGGACCACCTACGGCCCCCGAGCAACACTAGGCAGGAGACCTGGCACATCCCGGGGGCCCCCCAGCACCATCCCACAGGCCTGCATATCTGTTCCTGCAGCCAGGCCAGAGAAGGCCCCCAGAGGGCAGAGTGTGTGTCTGAGCAGTGGTGTCCAGCAAGCCTTCACCTGGGGCCTGCATGCAGAAGTCCGTCAAAGAAGGGAGACAGGGTCTGCCAACACCTGGTCCAGGGGCTGATCTCAGGCCAGAACAAAGCCCCCCTCCACAGGCCGCGGCCTTCAGGGGCCCCCTGCCTGCCTCCCTGGCCCGTGGCCTCTGGGCCCCGCTACCCCACCCCCACCACCACCCTGCCGCCCTCAGCCGACACCCTCCCCTCCCCCAGCGGCAGGCCAGGCTGGCAGCGCCATTGTAATAACTCATGCAAATGCAAGGGCCCGGGAGACAAAGGGAGGTCAGGCCAGCAGCTCAGGGACTCCTGTCGACAAACAGCATCAGATGTAAAATGTGTCCCTTTGACAAAAGTATTAATATAGTGCTTTTGATTTCTTCCCCCTGATGAAAAGTGAAAAGTAGTAATTGTGGAGTGACAGAGGAAAATGAAGTTTTGAACCAAAAGGCAAAGTTCGCGGATGGAAAAGCCCAACCCAATTAGCTGCTCAGGAGGGACAGGAGTGCGGGGCGCTCGCTCTTCCGGCCCCTCCACGGCCGTGTGACGGACTCGGCTCGAACCGGGACAGCCGAGCAGATACATCTGTGTGCCGCACGCCGGCGCGGCTCAATCATTTGTAATAGTCGTATTTGCCCTGACACGTAATTTGCTACATCAAGCTGTTTTTTTTCTTGCTCACTAGTATTCCGTGGTTTGGCCTTTGCTTTATGAAACATTCAGTGGTTTGCTGTAAACACATCAACGTGCCCGTGTGTGCTCACCCTTGCGTGGCGCCTGGGGCATGGCCCCCCCCCCCCACGCCCTCGCTGCTGCGCCTGCTGACCTGAGGGGAGCGGAGTGGCCGGTGTGGTCGCCAGGGCGCTGAGGCCGCATTCTCTGTCTTGTGCACGCAGCCACCCCCTGCATCAAGGCCATCAGCCCCAGCGAAGGCTGGACCACGGGGGGCGCCACGGTGATCATCATCGGTGACAACTTCTTCGACGGCCTCCAGGTGGTGTTCGGGACCATGCTGGTGTGGAGTGAGGTGAGCCTGCGGCGCCGGCGCCGCCCCGGGTACTGCTTCACGGGCGGCCTGACGGCTGCCACCGGTGCGTGGACGCAGGGCGTCCTGGTGCAGAGTCCCCCCCCCCCACCTGACGGCCTCCCGTGGGTGGGTGCAGAGCGGCCCGCCCCCCACCCTGGGTTTCAAACCTGCCGTAGGAGGTCCCTGCGTACACTGGAACAATTAGTGCTCGCGTTACCGGGAGCAGGTTTAAGGGGACATATGGTGGCAATTTTCATATGAATGATGCCCTGTGGCCTTTCCTGCAAACTAAAACCCGGGATCGTTTACAGATATTTTCCTTAAAGAGCACTGGGTCCTGCATCTCGGGGTGACAGCTGGGGGGGGGGTGTTCCAAGACGATGGCCCAATTTGGCTCATTTTGGTAATTACGTCCAACCGGCAAGGGCCCACCTCTTGGGGCCAGTGTTGCCAAAAGCCTGCTCACTGTGTGGTTTTTGTAGCTGATAACTCCCCACGCCATCCGCGTCCAGACCCCGCCGAGGCACATTCCTGGCGTCGTGGAAGTCACCCTGTCCTACAAGTCCAAGCAGTTCTGTAAAGGTGCTCCTGGGCGCTTTGTCTACACTGGTGAGTTCGTGTTTTCAACTTTCGGGGTAAAGCGGTGGCCGACCCCTTCCGGCCGCACAGACGGGCTCTGCGGTGAGGCCAGGTGAGGCCCTGGGCCCACGGGCTGGGTTCCTCCTCTATAAAACGAGGCTGTGGGGTTGTCAGTCACGAGTCACCCCAGCCCCCATTGGGTGGCTGCCCGAGTGCCTGGCTCAGGCTGGGGGGCCCTCTGGGTGGCTCTCCCGTGATGTCACTGTTGCACAAACAGATTCAGAGGTTCCCTTGTGTGCCCCAGGTCACACGCCCTGCAAACGAGGGGCCTCCAGCTCAGGCCAGGTCTGTGCTCCAGGCCTGGGTCTCACACCCTACACTCCACCACTGCTTCTGTGAGGGTCTTGGACAAACTGGAATCATCAGAAAGGGTCGCGTCTGCAGTCACACATTCGTTATCAGAAAGTTGTCCTAGGCAAAGCCTTCGCAAGCATGGTTGGTTAACGGGATTCCTTTGAGCTCACTAATGAGAGATGCCGTAAGCAGACAGACGTAAGGCCTGTTAGGACTTTGGTGTCTGTCCTCGAAAGAGCGAACACTAGAGTCTGGGAAGTTGTATATGATGGCGGTCAGCAGCTGCTGCACCCCTAGGGTGAAACGGGGGGCTTGTCCTTGAAGAGCTGTGGCCTTGATGTGTGAGCAGCCAGGGTGGCGGGCGGGCCTCGGTGGCCCTCCCTCACCAGCTGCAGGATGCTCCAGAGCAGGTTTGTCCCCCCCCCCCGTAGGGATGTAAGGCTGTCCTCTATCCAGCCGGCACGTGACACATGGGCCCGAGGTCCCTCCCACTTTGGAGTGTTAAGAGAGAGTGGAGGTTGGTCGCCCACCCCCTTGTAGGGAAGGACTGAATCAGTGTGAGATGCTCAATGTGAGTTCTCCCAGCAGACCTTGGGTCACCCCAGGGCCAGGCTGGGCTGCCAGCGACACTGGGGGTCCTTCATGAGGGAGGCCACCTTTTTGTTCCGCCCCTCAGCACTGCTCCGTATGGTAAAGGTGTGTGGGGAGTTCCTGGGGCTGCTTCCCCCTGGGGACCCAGAACTGCCCGAGAACCCAGGGCACATGCAGCAAAGCTCTGGGTGCGCGTGCAGGCCCCTTCCTGGGCTCCGTGCGCTCTCAGCCTCCTGATCGGACCCAGAGACAGAGGGGGCGGCTTGTCCAGCTTGCGAGGCTGGGCGTGGATGAACACTGTGAAGGCGGGAGGGTCATGGACTTGGCACTGTGTAGACCGTGCACGCACGCTCTAGCAGGCGGCTGCGCTGCGTGCGCCCCTGAGGGCAGACGTCGGGTGCCACCGGGGTGGTGGGCCTCCCTCAGCACCTCTGCTCTGGGCCCGTGCCCTGGCCGCTGCAACCCACTTGTGCCGGGCAGGCCCCTTCTCACTGCAGCCACGCGTCCCTGGGTTTCTGGCCCATGGGCTTCAGGCTGTGGAGGCCATGGGTGTCCCGACCTGCTCTGCCCGGCGTCGGCCGGGGAGCCTGGTGCCCGTGCTCCGATCATTGGGTGCTGCTTCTGCTCGGCCGCACCTGCGGGTGTGCGAGGGTCAGGGAGAACGCAGGGGCCGTGTCCCACTCATGGCGGGCGCTTAGCCAGTGGTACCTCCTGTGGATGGTTTCCAAGGCACAACCTCTGTCAGGGTCCCAGGTCAGTCAAAGGAAGGGACGTTTATTGTCCACTCAGGAGCTGTCTTCCACATGACACGCGGGTCCTGGGCATGTGTCTGCACGGGAGGACCGGCCAGCTCTGCACAGACACACGTGACGAGGCCACTTGTTCCCATCAGATGGTCGGGCCCTTGTGGTCGAACTGTCCCCGGGGCCTCAGTGGGTCCCTTCGGCAACCAGGCTTGGCATCCAGATCTCTTGCTCGTGTGGGCTTTTTGGTGGGGAGACGGGCCGGCCACGGGTGGCGGTGGTGACTCTGAGAAGACATGTGATGGCAGGAAGGTCCACTGCTCGTCCTCTCCCTGCGTGCTGACCACGGAGGACTCTGGTCCTGGCGGGGAGAGCAGGCCCTGGGCCGAGCATCCTAAACAAAGGTCCCTTTGGAAAACAAGCCGGGGAGGAGCGCCGGCCGGTGAGTGTCCCGAGGTGAGGGCCTGCCCCGGGGCTGGTGTGAGGGGTGGGTGTTGGGGCAGCTCTGGGGCCCTTTCTGAGGCCCTCCCGCCCTCCGGCTGGGCAGAACACTGCCTTGACCGGCGGTGCTCCTCCCGGGGTCTCTGGGGCGTTTTCCCCCCTCCCCTTGAGGAGCTGAGTCAGTTTCGGCAGCCACCGCTGTCCAGTGGCCTGTTGCCCATCTGCACAGTGGACGTGGTGTCCACTCCTAGTGGACTGGGCTACTCGGGCCAGGAGCTCAGGGGCCCCACAGCCTGAGGCTTTGGGATTTTCTCCGTCAGGAGCTCTCCCACGAAGGCCCTTCAATGAAGCCATTCAGTGCGCGGGGCCTTGGCCAGCAGGAGGCTAATTTATGGCCTCCCCCACCCCAATCATTAACGGGAATATACATTTCAAACGCCGTGTAAGGGATACGGGGCCTACACTCTCAGGGAGCAGAGGAAAGGTGGGGTCATAACCTGTCTGACCTGGAAGCTTCTGTCTGATTCACAGAGCCCTCAGATGGGTGGGGACAATGAAGCAATCACTGGGAACTGCACTGGCCCTGAAAGCCGAGCCTGCCCTTCTGCCGGCAGGACTCGGGGCTCGGCCCCTGCGGGCAGAGCCCGTCCCCTGGGCATCTGGCTCCCATCAGGGTCCCCCACCCGCAGGCTGCCGGGACACCCTCATGTGAACCTTCCCGCCAGCAGCCGGCCTCGGGATAATGAGGCTGTGCCCGGAGGAGGGGCCCTACCCGCCGGGGGGAAGAGGCCTGGGTGATCTGTTTACAGGGATCTGAGAAACACCAGAGTTTTCAGGCCCCGAGACCCCCGGTTCCCCAACCCCGAGTGGGTGTGGGCCCCTGCCCTGGGGAGGGGAGGCGGGCCAAGCCCGTCCGTCCGGCCCCTCTGCTTGCTGCTTTCAGCTGGGATAAAGACGCAATTACCTTGGGAAGTGGTGGAAGTGCAGTTGATTAGCACGGTGAATTAAAAGAATGCGCCACCAATGACATGTCCGGCTCCTCCGTAGTAGCCCTTCGAATTCCCAGGGTACCTCACCCTGTTGTAAGAAGGTCAGAAATTAGAGAGGGAGAACAATTTTCAAGCGGCTGGCACTTAGGAGCAGAATTAACAATCACTCTGTATGTAATTGCCAGTTAATAGTAAATTGCCTTCTCGACTGTAAAATGCAATATAAACGCTGGGCACCTAAAATTAAATTAATGAGATATTTGCTGCATTTAAAAGTGGGTAGTGCAAATTAATACCTGAGTGCAATGCTCGTTTTAATATTTGTCTAATAGTGTATCATTTGCTTGTTTAATAATAATTAACGTGGTCCCGGAACAGCTTACCTGAGGAACGTGTGGTAACTGGGCAGATAGAAGTGTTTCGCGTTCAGAATTTCAGCAGGAGAAACACGGCCGATTGTTAAGAGCAATAAAAGAAATTCTTTTTTAATTAGAATAGACGCATCGTGGTGCCATTGGATTAAGACAAATTGGAATTTGCTTCTCGTTGAAATTGAGTTAGAGCAAAAGGTACCTTCACAGACATGTGTGAGGTGTCCTTGCACGAGAGCTTGGCCTGGAAGCTGGTCTGGACAAACGGGTTCCAGTCGCACCAGAGGCGTGAGGCTCAGTGGCAGCGTCCGTTTGGGCATCGTTTCCGGGACTCCTGCTCCTGACCCCTGGTACCCAGATGTTTGATGGACCCACCCGCATTGTGGAGATTTCTGTTGTTCAGTTAAGGACATAATCACAAATGACCGGGGTCACCCTGATGCCCGCCCCGGGCCGGAGCCGGTCGCTGAGGAAGACACGGCTGCCGATGGCGACCAGGTGCGGGCAGCCCCGGCGCGGCTGGTCTGCCGGGTGTGGGGCCTGGTGTCGGGCCTGCGGTTCATTTCCTAGACAGGGACGTAACAGTGATTATTTTCTGCACAAAGACGCACATTCAATTCCAAGCACGTGAAATCATTACTCAACCCGTAATTGGTAACAGTTTGTATTCTTTCTGATACAGTATTTATGTTTTCTTTTTTATAAAAAAGTCAGGTTGTGCCTTCGCTGGGCCACATGTCAGGGGAGGGGGCCTGCCTGTCCTCAGGGGGGGTCCTGGCTGCCGCGGGTGACAGTTTTCCAGTGAGTGGCCCACACCCTGCCAGCTGGAGGGCTCCCGCCCTTGAACCGCCACTTCAGCTCAGCCCTGGAAAGGCCCTCGTGTTTCTGAAGTGCTTCACAGACCCTGTGTGTGTTGAGAAGGGGGTCTGTCAACAGCCCGGTGGCCTGCTGCAGGGTCAGCTGTGCCCTCGACCCCGTGGGCACAACTGGCTGGCTCCCGGGCCAGCGCCCGGCCAGCAGATGGCTGGCACCCACCCAGCGAAGGTGCCTCGCTGGCTCCCGTAGGTTATGCTGGTTCGCTGCACTGCCCGCTGGGCCATGCCTTTCCCTAAACGACCTGCACCAGCCGTGCCTGACCACCTCGCGGACGCGCCGCAGAAGCGAACGTATTGATCATGGATCCTCCAGTCCGGGGGTGCCTCCAGCCAGCTCCGCCGGTCACTCCTGGGCATCCTGTCTGTGAGATCCAGCCCTCCCTGCAGCCACACTGGAATCTCTGCCCCCGCTCACCAGCTGGGGGTGTCGGTGGGAGTCCGGGGTCTGCTGGGGTGCAGACACCCTTGCTTTTATAGGAGGTTGATTTTGTGGTAGGGTAGCCTGGGCTCGGGCCCACTCTAGACCTGTGCAGAATGGGGGAACCGGGACAGTGACCCGGATACTGCAGACCGCGACATCATGGCCTCCCTCCCAGCACAGCCCCTGACTTTACTGGTGTCATTTGGGGGGGCAGAGGGTGAACCCTGCCTGTTGACTGGGACGAT